CATATTACTGAGCTTATCGTTTCTAATAATGAAATCCTGAAACTCAACATTTAAACCACATTTGAAAGATCGATGTTAAAAATACAAATTTTCATGTCCAGCACAGAAAATGTCTGAAAGCAACCATCCAGTTAGTTTTTCGACCCATTTTTTCAGCTTTAAAATCCACTAAGTGGGCTCATTATCCAGTTAATTAGCCCATTAATTCAGTTTCCTGGCACGCGTTTGACAAAAAGCCTTTCATCATCACTTTTCACGGGAAACATTTCTGTTTCTAGTTTTGATTCAGCACGGCAGCTACAAACCACAAGCCCTTGTGTGTAAACTAATCTCAGCCTGTCACCCTGCGAGCCCCATGAACCCGTTTAAACACTAATGCCGAGGTATCCGCCGAGGAGACAGCTAGGCTGTCACCTCAACGCTGGCGCGGGTATTAAAAGCCGTGTTGATGGCCGGGAGATGCTGCGGGTCGTGACCTCACAGGGGCGGGACGCATTCAGGAAGTAGAACGGAGCAAATTAAGAGAGGCGCACGCAAGTGACAAGTTTGTGATTCAAAGCATTTTCCATACGACAGCTCAAGAGACGCTCCTGAGCAAAGTTCGGGCCATTTTTTTTTCTCCCATGACAGTGATAAAGATGGGAACGCAAAGTCAAACGCATGACAAGTCTGGTGAAAGAATGACAAGTCTAATGAGTTGTTAAGACCTTTTCGAGCTGAGCAAAAAATACCCTCAGTAGCTCAGAGCCCATTTAACCCTTAAAAGCCTGATCCAAGAAAAATAGGAAGAATATTGGATTTTTTTAGTCTGAAGTCTTTCTATGGCCCCTCAACAACATATGAAGAAAAAAAACAGAAGTAATTTTGATCAAATTAGCATGTAATAAGTCAAAAATATATTTTGGTGTAGTCTTCTACTGGCTGTTATCAGGTATATCTGAATGTGTACAACAGGGGTTTGAGCAAAGCTTTTACCACTGAATGATCCAAAAAGTCTCAGATCCAAAAGACTTTAGAAACCGTATCATATATGACACATTTGGCATTATAGGGTTAAAAGTTGGCTGAATGAGTCTCTGTGCACAATAATTCTCCTTACAGCCTTTCTCTAAGGTTTGCCTTCCACCGGACAATCCCAGGAGCAGTTTGGGGCCTTGATCTCATGCTCAGAGATGGATCCGCGTCCACCTTGAAGACGGCAAACTGAACCGTGTCATTTCATCCCTCCAGCTGCTTCTGGGCAGCTCTCAGGTCGACAGTCTAAGAGATACAGCCGCTATTTTTAAAGGGGTGGAAAGGAAAGAGTAAACCTTAGAGTATATGTTTGCAGCTGAGCCATATATGATGAAGAGGGTCTCTGTGGACATTACAGTAAAATAAAACAACAGTTCAAAAGCTTTGGCCGCTCCTTTTGCTGGCTGACAGTTTGACTAAAGTTTCAAAGTGTTTGGTCCATTCGAACATTGTTAGAAATTGTAATCTACAATCTGTAAAGAACATTTATGATGTCTTCCTGATGTGTTAAGTTATGTTAAGTTGAGAACTTTTCATTGTTACAGATGTAAAATCCACAGAGATATCTTGTATTTGGATTATTTTGAATTTGCTTTAGGGTTTTTAGACTTTTCTGAAACGTTGGAACAGGGACACTTTTATAGTAAATGATTGACAGTTTTTGCTTGTTTTAAGATTTCAGAGCCTCCTCTGTCAGGTTTTTCTTCTGCAATGCTCCAGATGTTTCCAGAGGATGCTGCTCCGGTGATATACGTTTAAAATGGGCTTTGGCATTGCCTTACTGAAATTAGTAAGGCCTTCCCTTAGAAAGGTGCCTCCAAAGCATATTTACCTTAGTTTCTGCTGACATCGCCTTCAGAAATATCCCAGTCATGCTTCTTTAAATGTGGTTTAAATCTAAATGTGAGGCAGGGATCAAATTAAAAAAAATCATTATATTTTGTATAATTTTCAATTAAGTGCAGTTTGATGCTGATCTTGAGTGTCTGAACTCACTTTTGTTTAATAGTTCACGCCACACATGTGGGTCACATTCTTTTATACCCCTTTTTCTCTTAAAAATGTACTTCTAATGGCTAATTTTTGTGTAATACATCATGTGATGTCATATCAATGCCGCAGGATTAATTTAAATCACTGTGCTGTCACTCACCAGAGTAAATACCGGCAATGCCGTTTAGGTGATTAAGAGATCAAGGAGTCAATGGATGGACCAGGAAAAAAAAAAGGGTGTTAAAGATGAGACGGTCTAAATAATTTAATACATGACAGAACAGACGAGTGTTTCCAGTGGGGCTGCTATCTTTGTGCCCCGCGGCACAAAGAGCCGATGAGTGATGAAGAAAGAGCCTCCCTCACCGGCTGATGCCACAGCTGAGACGTAAACTGTTTATCCAGCTGGAAGCTGCAATATTCATTAGCCGAACACAGGGAGGCTAATCCGGGGCACATCAGATGAGATACTGAAGGTCACGCTTTGTAATTAGCTTCCCACAGAGGTCCGTGATTACAAGGAATCACCGTTTCGAATTCCCACGTCAGCTTTTGTGGAGCCCAGAGTGCCACAGACGCGTGTGGTCTGTGTGTGGCCCACTGAACTATTTACAGACTCGGGGAGCTGTGATTACGACTCTTTTCTTTTCTTTTTTTAAATCACAATGGAAAAGCCAGGTCTTCTGCTCCGAAACGGCCAGTTTCTGTGGTCCGATTCCAGAGTTTTAGGTCAGACCCCACAGCGAGGAGCACGTCCGAGTTTGAAAACAACAACCTGTCCAATCTGTGACTTCAAACTTGGAGGCGACCGTTCTGGATTTAGTTTGGACAAATTCTAGCACCTCATCATGACGCCTGGTGTTTAAAAAGCCGTGTGTGTAATTTTGTTGATTTATTTTGCGTACTGCTGAAAATACTCTGCAGCTTTGTGTCTGGGATCTGGGGGCTGCTCTGTTTTATGGTTTAACAAAGCCTTTGTGAAAATAAACACGAAGCACTGGCAACAGAAGAGTGACTCCTTACATTTTTCAGGATTAAACGGAGGATTGTCGAACTCCCGAAATGCTGCTGCCAGAATTTGGTTAAATTTAAGACGAAAGGAAAGTGATAAGACCACAGCCAAGGTTTCTATGCAATAACCTGAAGTTTCTGTGGTCTTGGAAGTCCAAGAAGAAACATCAAAGAAGAAAAATCAGTTCTACTGACCCAATTTCCCTCTTTCCGTTTCTTTTAGGTTCATCTCTTCTTTAAATAATACCTTCTGCAGGGTGTAAATTCAGACTTCTGAGAGACTCTGAACTCCTGATTGCCCTAGTTTTCTTGGTGGAAAGCCCTGTATTCTAAAACATGATCCTCCAGGATACCAGCCAGCGCTGATTAGGGTCCAGAGTTGGCCCTAATTGTATTACTAGGGGCTGTGAACTGATCTGAATTTGAAGGGAGTCATTTCCTGCTGGAACTACACAAACAGCTTCTGACCGATGTCTTTGCACCAACTCCCACACTGACCTCCAGTCAGCTGGACACAAAGACGGAAATTTGTGGATAAAAAAAACAGAGACATAATGACATCTGCCGCTCACGGCCAGATGGTTCACAGCTTTTTGAGATTTAAACATGGACATTTGGCAGAGATGAAAAAAAGAGGTCAAGATATTCAAGAGTTCAGTAATTGGACAGGAATTCCCATGTGTGGATGCTTTATCTGGGAGACAGGGTCTGGAATGTGATGTGGGGGAGAGACCACCGCAATGTTTGGGATTCTTGATGCTGAGCAGTTTAAAAAGACAGGCTGGATGATGGGAAGCCTGGAAACCAGGAGGAATCCTTTAACCCTTTAAGTAGCCAAACTAACTCACAACATGTTCGGATCATCTTTTCCTAAAGAAAAACTTTTGAGGAATCTTTTAAGTAACCGAACTAACTCAAACATGTTTGGATCGTCTTTTCCTAAAGAAAAACTTTAGAGGTGTGTAGTTGTGTGTGCTCTGACTCACGCAGAGCGTCCTTCCACGTCCAGCTTGGTGGGAATGATGCCCTTCTTGTTGAGGACGGCAGCGACTTTGTCCACCTCTCCGCGCTCCACCGCCTTCATCAGCCGGTCGTCATACTTGTTCCAGTCTGTGTTCTGAGGAGGACAAAAGAGGGAAACGCTGTAATAGCCGAAGAAATATCTAACCAATCGCGCACTTGGTTGAACCCACTGAACCCACTGAGACCTGATTCAGCGTGTGAGTGTACCTGCTCCCACCTGCTGGGAAAACGCCTCGGGCCCTAAAAAAAGTTCCCCATTTTTTTACATATGTTTTTAGCTGACAGATCCATGCAGCTGTGACGTGTTCGAGTGAGAAAAAGTATTTCCATGTGCACAAAAACACCCCAATACCCTCCCATTTTCCTTTATATAAACAATAACAGACTGATACACAAGTTAGAGGAAGAACATGTTGTGCTACAGTTCCATTAACCCCCCCCCCCTCCCACATCCCATCGCCACTACATGAGTGACAGCTACAAAACATGGGAACACAGTACTCCTCTGAGAAATGTGCAACAGGAACCACTTCTCTGAGAGCAAATTTGGACTGGATGGCGTGTAACCGTGTCCAATAACTGAGGAAGACTCGCTCTGACCTGACCTACTCCGCCTCACCACTTTGTGAGACTCTAAATCTTAGACACGGACGGAAAAGGAGAACACCGAGACAGAGAATACATACAAGGTGCATGGAGGTGCATTTCAGCCAGCGGCTCATCTTGGGGGAGTGGAGCTGGTCCTTGCACCGGGCTACTGAAAAGGTTGCCACTTTTGCGGTTTACAAAAAACACAAAATGGAGAAAAACTAAATTAGTAATTTTTTTAAAAAAAGGCCTCCTCAGTCGGTGCACTCAACCAGTGAGTGCGACGCAGAAAAGTGGAAGAAAAGGAGGGATCCACCACAAAAAGCCTCCCTGACTAGGAGGAAGAAGCTCATCTGACGGGAGTTTCTAAGTAGTCCGAGACGTGCCTGCAAGTCCATCACTGCGCAGCAGTTTGGGCGATGGTGGAGGGGGAGGAATAAGAGGAATGAGAGGGAAAAGGGACGGAGGTGGAGAAGCAGTGGGGCCAGCCCTGCCAGCCCCGGGACCTGCCCCGGCCGGCTACTGCCACTCCTCCTCTGGAGGGAATCAGCTCAGCCTGATGGGACTCGCCCCCCCCAGGAGTTCCTCCCTCTGTCCCGAAACCTCCTCTTTACTCGGTCTTCTCTCGTTCAGATTCCACTCCTCTTGGTTTTCGGAGTGTTTGTCTAAAAGCTGCAAACCGAGAGAAGACTTGAACAGCTCTCCTCTCTCCACTCTCAGTGGTCTCCAGCTTCTTCACACCACCAAATGGCAAGGTCAGGCAGCTCAGCGGGGTAAATATGTGCGCTCTGCCCGGTTTAAAATATCCCCCCCCCCCCCCCCGGTAAACAGCGCTAGCGCAGACAGCCCCGCAGACTGGTTACCTCTTTATTTTTTGACCCTCCAACCTTTCTGTAGTGACTGATAGGAAGACGGGGGCTAAGAATACATTCTGGACGTGCCAGCGGAGTGAGTAATGGCTTTGGTGTCTTTCACCACTGCCAGCACGAAACGAGGCCAGCCAAAAAGACCTTTCTTTACACTGTCCTCCCTGCTCACCTCAGAGTGAGAATATTAATGTCAGAGGGGGATTATGGTTTGCACATTTGAAGGGGGTCTTGGCAGAGGCCCCTCGGATGACCGTACGGGGCAAAAAGCTGCCGTTAACCCGCCCGTCCAAAGGGGGTGACGGGACTCCTAAGGCCCCCTGATCCAGGCTTAACTCATTGGCTGCCAAAGACGTCTATAGACGTCTTTTATGTTTTTCAACGCGAGTGGCTTGGGGGACGATCTGCTAAAGTTTTTCCGTAAATATCAGGCTTCTAGACAGAGTATGAAGGAACAAATTGACCCTCTAGGTAGCTGTGCCACTTTTGATGGGAGATGAGCATAGACTGTAGGCAAATAAGAAAAACGCAATGGTTCGCTATGCGAGAAATGGCGCCGGTGAGACGCAAGTCGAGGAAGAACGGAATAAGGTAGAAACAAACATTTTTTCCTGATGAAAGAAGAGAGTCTATTCTTTCTTTTGGTGTGTTCGGTGTTTACATAGTCATAGCACAAACTATTCTGTGGCTCTTGAAAAATCAGTCAAAATACTCAAAAAACTCAGTACTATAGGACTCTCTGTTCTGAAAATGGCTAGCAGTCAATTACTTAATGGTGGCAAAGTTAGATATCAGCCATTTTACGAGCTACAGCGATCACACAGCAAACCAAAACCAGAGGTTTCCCCTTTTTAAAATGCTCAGAGACAGCAATCCGAGTAAAGGAGGCGGTTTGGAGCGCCCGCCTGATTTACGGCCCGCTCCGAAACCCGCCCGGGCTCCGGTTTCCGCCCGCTGCCAGACTGGCGTTCGCAGAGCGACGCTGATATCCGCAAACACGCAACGACACCTAAGCATGACGGCTCCAGAGGAGAGGCGGGTGTCGCCTTACGAAAGCTGCTCGTCCCACCATGGAGACAAAGACGCCAAAATGGCCCCTCGCCATCGCATACGTCGCTCACCTAAACGCGTCACGTGTGTGTGAGCATACACACTCAGGAATTTGTTTATGTACGAGTTAATAATAGGGCTGTTAGCAAGCAGAAGTCGCCACTGAACAAGTTACTCTAAAGGGGGGCGTCTTAAATAATAGAGAGTGATATTTATGTCATGGTGACAACGTGGCTGGAACCATGTGAGATGATGCTTAAATCACATAAACACGAACAGCCTCACTGTTCTTTTCTTTCTTTTAGAAATATTTTGCATTTATTTGCAAATCAATGTTTTAGTTCAGAAATGACGAACTGCATCATGTGCTGAAAATGAAACATCTTACAATTTATTTAATCTGAAGGTAGCAACAATTCTGACAAACGTTGGAAAAGTATGGGATTCTCAAATTGATAACTGGAGTTACATATTTTAGCTAATTTACGAACGCAGATCGGTCTGTGAACAGGAAGGAAACAGGAAACAGATAAGCTGTTGTCTTTTCTGTGCAGACGCTGACTGAGGCAAACCGGAAAGACAGTGAGAGTGATTTAAAATATTACTTAAAAAAAATAAATCATGGATGCTGCATCAGAACTAAAAGGGGAATATCCTAGTGGAGTAGAAACTACAGTTGATATGAACTGACAGTAGATATCCAGCTTGTTGTCAACACTCATTATGAAAGCCTGCATCTCTAATGGTACTATGAATGTACAGTCATGTTTCATAGTAGTATAATACTGGGAAGACCTTCCTTATATCAGCAAGACATTGCCAAACCACCTATGTACGTTTTTGTACCAGCACAGTTCTAGACTTTAAGAAAATGCGCATGCAAGCTTTACTTGCTCGTGGTTAAGACCTTTAACCGACTAAAGCCATTTGTCTTATAATGGAAAGCAAAGTTGACAAAAGAAGATTAGACTGTGGTTCACTGTTCTGAGAACCAGAAAATGATGTTAGCACGATTCTTTAGTTGGAAGCCTGAGAATAAACCAGAGCAGATCAAGAGTACAAATATGACATTTATTGGTCACGAGCAAAATAAATTAGCGCTGGGCTCCCGGAGGATCTCAGTTGAAAAGAGCCTCGATTTCCGGGTTTGATGGATGGTTTTTCTCTGGGGCTCGAACAGGAGGACGGCTGGACGTAACCGAGTGTTATTGGCCAGTTAGCTCTGACATGTACAGGCCAGGTCCTAATTCATGCAGGTTTTGGTGGAATGTGATAAGAAAGTGTGTGTATTAAAGAAGAGTATCTACTGTAACAGAGAGAGGAGGAGGAGCCAGAGAGTTTAACCCAAAAGTATAATTATAAAGGGAATAATATTAATCTAAAAAGGAATAAGACAATCAGTCATTTACATGGATTAAGTTATAACATGTTGTGCTGAAGTGAGTAATTATAGCCCAGTTCTAACAGTGACAACCTCCCGCTACCCACCCATGAAGGCGATTCATCTCCCTGATTGGCCGACAGTAGCAGAACGTTTGTGTAACAATACCGCACAGTGACTGTTAGAGCCATGTTGCTATTTGAATATTAGGGAATATAATTTTGAACGTAGGAATTTCTATATTTAGAATTTTGCTATTTATGGTTTGTTTATTCAATAAAAAATATGTTATTTGTAAGTTAAGAGTAATTTAACCGGCATTTAGATTTGGGACTTTTAATTTGTTTGCGTGCGTAAAAGAAGACGCATCCTCAGAATTGAAGTAGCTGTGGAACCTTTTTTATTAGATAAAGATTTTTTGTTTATGAAGAAGCCATGAAGAAGTCCATTCTTTTCAAAAGCGCTTCCCGAATGACACAGATACTGGATCTGCTGCCATAACAATGACTTTCTAAACTCATAAACCAGCACAGTCTCATTTCACCAAAAAAATTGGCCCATTGGTGAGAAAAACATGTCTTAAATTTAGGACCCGGCCATGTTTCCCCACTGCAGCAGCCCCTCTTAACAACAGTCCATAAATATCCGGGAATTTTGGAGAGGAGACTGGACCAGCTCATCTGATGAAGCTGCTCATCACAAATTAGTCCTCCTTATCGTATTTTGTGCTAATGAGTGAAAGGTTTTTTAACTGGTTAACCCTCTGGCGATGAGTCTGATTAACACCCATTCCTGTAACCGACCTGTTGTCAGTTTTCCCTTTGGCACTTTTGCACCTTTAGCTGATTGCCGGCCATATTTGTCAGGTTATGGTTCTCGCTTTCCGCTTTAATTTGCATTTTACACGCCATCTTCTGGGTTTTATTGCTTTTGCAGAATATAAACACCATTTGTGTTCTCTTAAAGTCTGAAAAAGTCCTGATTGTGGATCATTTCTGAAGTCTAAATCTAAAAAGAAACGTGTCATTTCATTGGTATTTTTCTTGATAAAAATACCTGCTTTTCTTCCTGCTTTCGCTTCTTTCATAACTACAACGGATACCTGTTTTTAAAATGGTGTCAGCCATGTTTGCTCGTCTTTTTACATTTGTGAGGGACCAAAGGATGAGCATCTGTAGCAGCTGATGCTTCAACAGGGAGCCGGGATCCTGCATCCGACCACACAATGACAGTCTTTAGGCTGGGAGATGTGTAGGATACAAATATTAATATCTTAAGATAATCAGATGATCTTTTAAAAATATGCAGGTACTAAAGTTATTAGATATTTAGTTATTAAGTCAAATAACTTGAAAAAAACACCCTAGAATCACACGTTTTGTTTCATAATTCTTTACACTGACTGGCTGAACATGCATCTATCGTATTGCGGATTCTGTAAGAGCATCCAAATGTAGTTTTGAGGCAGTGAAACAAACACATTACCTAAAGCTTCTATTTTAGCAGAGTGACCTCGGGCACAGAGCATCAGCTGACACTGGATCAGGTAGCTAGGGGCTGCTACCTGTCTACACTGATTATTCTGGGTGTCTGCTAATACTTATGGTCTCTTGTCATCCTCGTCATCCTCGATTTCCAACACCTCAGTTTCCTCCCTCTCTCAGCTCCTGGCCGGACTAACTGGTCTCTAATGTCCTAACAGATTAAATCATATGCAAAAAATATCTTACAGGACCATCTGACATCAGACTAACGCCAAACCAAAACATAAAGCTGTACGCCAACATGTCAGGTGATAGCGGTGTCCAGGAGACCGTAGTGGCTCACATGGTTTCAGATTTTAAGCTTCGGGTTGGTAGTGATCACTGGAGACGCCTTTAAAGACGCAGCAAGTCGTGAAATAGAAACCTGGAAGATTTTATGAGCAACGTGTGAAGGCACTGGGGTGCACACAGCCTTCTTTTTTTCTGGTATTGGAATAATGTATGATGTCCACTTGAAAAGAAGGTAAAATATATAAAATAGGAACGCATCATTCATACCGAACAGCGTATTTTAAAATCAAAGAAATCCAAAATAATATTTTTTTGTTATAACCTGACATTTTGTCTAAAAAAAATAGCCAAAACATAAAATGAAAACAGCACTATGAACATGTTTGTCTGGATTTAACACTTCACTTTGGGTGTACCTGATCTTTTAATTCAATTAGATGTGATTACCAGATAAAGGAGAGGTGATGGATAAACAGTT